ACCTTGGCCTTCTAGTTCAGCGTTAGGGACTCTACCACTGTGCCACAAAAGATCCAACATCAAATACCCCTTCTCTGGGTGGTCTTGAACCGCCAACCTTTCGGTTAACAGCCGGTCGCATTGACCAATTGCATCACTGATACTGGCTTCTGTTCTACTTATACTATTCAATTTAATTTGTTGAATGAATTGCCAAAATGAAAGTTGTTAATTTGCTATTCGTGCCAGCACTAGACAATTATGGTATACAAACTATTTTTGAAAAGCGACTGAATGATCTCCAGTAATAAATCTATAACCTTTTATTATATTTGTGCTAGTTTTGGTTACATTTGAGGTTTTATACAGCTGCTTATTTGATCAACAGTTAATATATGTAAGCAATAATAAAAAAAACTTTGTTAATTAGACAGTTGAGAAAAAAAGAACAAAAGCTCAGATAGTCTTGGGGAGGATATGATGCCGAGTAGAAACTTGAAAACTCCAGCAATGGGGATAGCTGCTGATCAAATTTAAGGATGGAACCTCTGTTTTCTCTTAGTTCTGGTTTCTGTTTTTTGTCAGGCACAGGGCCAGATTGACAGGCCAGTTTACTGCTGCCAAAAAAAAACATCAGAGAAGTGTGGTGGGAACTTTGTGCAGTTGGCCAATCATGGCAAAAGATTGGTTTGTGGAGTCAGGTGAGCAGAGCAGGGTGAATGGGTCTCTCAGTCTTCCTGGCCCAGAAACAATACTACGAACAACAACGAACTGCTGGGTGCAGCTACTCCCACCTTCTTCTCACTGCCAGGCTTCTAAGCCCGGAGAAACCTAACAGCTCAGTGCTAAATTTAGATCACTGCCAAAATATCAGTAATGGAGCTTCACTCCTTCATTGGTCAGAACATTTGAGTACAGAAGTTGGGACATCATGTTGCGGTACAGGACATTGGTGAGGCCATTTTTAGAATACTGCAAACAATTCTAGCCTCCTCGCTACAGGAAAGATGTCATTAAACTTGAAAGGGTACAGAAAAGATTTACAAGGATGTTGCCAGATCAGAGGGTTTGAGCTATAGAGAGGGGCTGAATAGGAATGTAGGAATGTTGGAATGTTGGAGGCTGAAGCGTGACCTAAAGGGTGAAACTTTTCTGCTCCTCTGATGCTGCCTGGCCTGCTGTGTTCCTCCAGGTCCACACTGCATTATCTCTGACTCCAGCATCTGCAGTTCTTACTATTCCAAAACTAGAGGGCATAGCTTTAAGCTGAGAGGGGAAAGATTTAAAAAGGATCCAATAGATAACTTTTTCATACACATATATGTGTATATGGAATGAACTGCCAGAGGAAGTGGTGGAGGCAAGTACAATTACAAAATTTAAAAGGCATCTGGATAGGTTTAGAGGGATATGGGCCAAATGCTGGCAAATGGGACTAGATTGGGATTTCTGGTTGGCATGAATGAATTGGACCGAAGGGTCTGTTTCCATGCTATATGACTCTATAATTCCAAAGAAATAATATTTGTCACAACCTCAAAATTCCAGATGTTGTTAATTTATTGATAATTTGGGAAAGAAAATAGGGTTGTGATGACATGTCAACCTGAAATATTTACTACTTTTCTCATTAGATGCTGTCTAATATGCAAGTTTTTTTTTTTACTAACCTTTTTTGTTTATTTCAGATTTAAGGCATATTATTAATAATGCAAAAGTAAAATGATAATAAATAAATGTCTGATTCAATAAGGTAGGGTATTAATGGCTGATTCAACCAGACAGATTTAAGGAAGATACTTTATACATTAGCAATGTGGTTTTAAGTTTGTGGTTTTGCAGTAAATACAGTTGATGCAATGTATTTTAGAAACATTGTTGGATACTTAGAGAATGTTTTAGTGCTGTACTGCATCATTTTTAGTTACATAATTGGATCTGACTGAAGTTCACAAGTTTGCGATAGATGAGTCGATAGTAACATTCATGTCAAGAACCTCAGCAGGTCTGGCAGCATCTGTGGAGAGAGAGAAATCGAATTAACGTTTTGAGTTAATTCAGTTTCCCTCCCTATAGACGGCCCTTTTTTTTTCTAATTTCGTATTTCCCAGATCCGCTGTATTTTTGTTTTCATAACATATCAGGCAAACTTTACACTGACACTGTTCAGTATGACACAAAATATTGGTGGTGGAGGATTACATTCAGTCAGCTTTATCAGAAACTCTGGTGTTAACTGGCTCAGGTCAAGATCCCAATGAAAACAAACTGCTGTCTCCCAATAAGGGGTATGTTAAAGAAAACAACGAGAAAAACTTGTTTTTAAATGGTGCCTTTTGCACCCTTTGATACCCAAAGTGCTTCATATTTAGTTAATTATTTCTGAAGTCTAATTAATACAGCTATGTCTAACTCAAGCATCTACTCAATACACAGTGTCAGCTATTATCAATTGGCAAGTTCTGAAGCATTGCTTATGCCCTCAACCTTATGACTTGAAACTTGTGTTGCTATTATTTAGCCAAATCGATGAGTTTGAGTACGTGGAATTATGCAGTACATATGACATTTCAAGAAAAAGAGCTAATTTTCAAAATTTCAAATCAAACTTAAACACCAAAATTGATAAATAGTAGCTTAATGTTTTGGTAATGTTGCTTGAGCAACAGATGGTGCCCCAGAACCCGTGCCTGCATTTAAGTACAGTGAGGATATGTTGCATTCTTCTAAGCAGTCAGACATACAAATAAACAACGCAAAACCTCATTACTCAATGCCAGTTAATATTATGCATTCAAGTTTTGAAGTGTTGCTTGAAAGCCACTGTCTGACATTGTTTCGAGTGATGCAACCATTGAGTCGAATTGAGGAGGTTGATTACATGTGGAATATTTTTAATTCCATAAATGAGTTTATTATCAAAGTTATTTTATATGTTAGAAATAAAATCACAAAAGGGTATAATTGTCCTTTTCCCAAGTGAAACAGATGTTTGTATTTAATATATGTGTAGAAATAAAGAGTTGCCTATAGTGGTGTGACTATTAGCTGACTGCCAAATTCTTTTATTAATTAAAATGTGTTTTGCATTTTCCAGTTATTGAATTATGTTCTTTGTATTAATTACATCCTTTACCAAAGTTCCAAGTCATTACATAAACTAATAACTGATGGCAGAGCAGATTAAATTATATCCAGAACAATTTAAGGGTTTTGTTATATAATAAACATTTGAGATCGTTCCCCTTCGTATAAGTATTGAATCACAACCGCATCATGCCATTTCTTCTACTTAAGAAATTGTAATTTCCAGTAAAACTGGGATCATCAACAATCACCATGACACAATTAGAAACATTACAAATTTGTAGTCAACATTTGAGCTTTGCAAATGAGTTATAATCATTTATGTATATTACATACTTTCGCTATGGTTATAGCATTATCTGGCTGTATACTTATGACTAGTTGTCGAGTCCAAAGCTATGCAGTTTAATAACAATTGACTCATATGTCATGTAAAACAATATAAATATCATGACCATTTTTATTAAATAGTCTCCAATTTTTTTGGGGATAGAATCCCATGAAGTTATTCCATTTTTCTGAATTAGAGAATCTGCATCATGCCAACAGGTCATTCGGCCCATCTGGTTAACTTCAGTGTTTGTAGTCCAGATGAGCCTCCCTCACTCTGATTAATCTCTTTTCTCATTCGTATCTATCAAGCATAGCTCACCTCTCCATTCCCAACTTAATATACTGAATGTTGTTCATTTCAAACATTCTAGTAAGTTCTATAACTTCAACAACTTTGTAAGGAAACTTCTCTGAAACAATCTGATTTAATAGTCTTATTTTTTATGTCTCTTTGTTCACACTCTCCAAAAAGTGGGAATAACATGATAAAAGTTGGTCTGGGCTAATTTTCTGAGGCAGTGCAAAGCCAAGATGCCTTAGATTGATTGAATGTTGCCTTGCCAATTTTGTGAAGAGGTGAAATAAAAGGCAGTAATTAAAGAAAAAATAACATATGGAGGAAGGCAAAAAGCCCATCTGGTAAAGGAATATTTTCTCTCATGTTGAAATTTTTCACTGTAATTTTTAATTCCCCTCAAGATGTTGTTAATGCCTACAAACTGCAGAGAAGGCCGTCTCCAATTACTATTTTTTTTAATGCACAGAGTAGGATGTCCAAAATAATGGGAATAGCTTTAGAACAGCTTTTTTCTTTAGAAAGTTTCATGATTAATTTACCTGTACTTTGTTTATAAACTTCAAATGCTTTTATAATGTGTTCTATACTGACATTACCCTTCTAAGTCACGAAACATGGTAAGTACTAGTAGCTAAGAGCTCAGTCAAAAAACAACATGGACCATGCTCGTGAAGATGCAGTGGCTTCCTCATTCTTAGACTCGCCAACATTTAGCACTTATTTCATAGGAAGTCAGCTCATCAAGTGGGCAGGGACAAATTCAAGTGGAATTCTCTAATACTGCAGCTGCAGCCCCACTCCATCTCCCTCAACATCTTGCATTTCTCCAAAAATAAAACAGATTGCCCAGAAAGAACTTTATAAATTACTGTATAACTTTTTTGAAAGTCTTTAAAAAGCTATGGCAATATGTTCAGTTACTGATACATTTTGAAAATTCAATGACTGAATGCAAATAGATAGACTACATATTAATCCATACATTATAAACAGACCTTTTAGCAGCATCTTTTAGCAGTATCTTAGATAAAAGGCTTTTCTTCCTAAATGCTATTTCCAGAATGACTAACATCAAGAAAGGCAGCTGGGTCAATTTTAGATTTAATAAATTTAGGATAGCACGCTCTATTACTTTAATTAATGTCAGTTAAAATAGATTGCTGAAAAACACACTAGTAAAATAATATTTGAAGCAAACATTTTGAATTATTATGTGGTCAATACAACAGGAACCAGAACTACATCATAAAAACATTAGAAAGGTCTCTCGATTTAGGTGCAATGTAGTCACTTGAAAAGCTAATTTCAAACAAATTTTGATTTATTATTAAATACAGCAAATACCAGGAAAACTGTTATTTTTGTATCACTTGCAGTTAAATAGGTAATGCAATGTCTTCTAATCAGTAGTTTTCACAGATGAACACAATGTGCAGGCAAAATAGTACATTCAACCAAAAAGAAGTCTTATTTAAAATATTAATATTGGAGTAAGGCAAGTCACCACAACGTATCAATGACTTCTATTTATTACAGGCAGTCCATTTACTCATGATGGAATATTAGTGCATATGGTTGTTTAAACAGTACTAATTTAGGCAATGCTTTCTACAAGGGCGTGTTGTCTCTTCACATCTGAAACAACTATAGTGCAAGACCTAGCTTACAAATAGCATTTCTAATGTGCTTTACAGTACAAATCAGAGCTGCTCTTCAACTTTGGGTACAAATATTTTCTCTCAAAGTCCAGTGCACTCAGACAAAGCACAAGATTCTGAAAATGGGATCTGTAGAATTGCACAGTGACCCATTTGTAATACTTAGTGGTTTGTTTTTGTTCTATAAACATACAAAACAAATCTCTCCACAGAACTGTGACCAACACGAAAACACCTAGCTTGAATATTAAAAAATGATGCAAGGTGAAATGAACCAAAAATGATTCTCCATCTCAGGAAACTATCAAGTGTACCAGTTAATGCTGTAGTCTTACAAATACAAAAACAACATTCCCCCCCCCCCCCCCCCCCCATCCCCACCAACCCCCTGAACTATGAAATGTGGATGCATTCCTATGGAGTGCCACAATGAATGTCAATACCAAACTCCACAGTGCACAACTTAGTCAGGTGCATTATTCCAGCCAGTCCACCTCATCAAATTCAGAATCATCCTCAGAGTCACTGTACTCCACTGCAATACGTCGAGAGAGAATGGTTGCCACATCATTTCCAACTTGTTCATGTTTTGCCTCCTGTTCACGTTGCTCTTCCACCTTGCGAAGTTGAATGCCTAAGCATAAGATACAGAAGACTTTTCAAATATTTAATTATGCCAAAAATGTATTTTTCTATAAAACAAAAGTTTCCATTAGATGAGGATGCTGTGTACTTTGAAACTACTGAAGAAAGCTTTACTCTTCAACAGTGATTTTGTCTAGTCTAGAACATAAACTTCCTCTACAGCATTTATAACATTAACATTTCAGACACACAATTTGATAGTATATTGTTATTGCAAAATGATAATATTTTCCATCTGAATGAAGATTGTTGCTTATGTTTGTGCAAACCCATGTTCAAGATACAATCAACATGCCAGGCTTCACACACACCACTATATATATTTAAATATAAAATGAAGAGAAAAAAACACCATTGTACCCATAAACTTGAATGTAGTAATATTTTGTTTTTGAGGTTTCCCACAAATAACAGAAATCCTCGTGGCCATTAATTAGGGTAAAAACAAGTACACAAACTGCCATGCTGGCTCACATTGCGTGCGGTATAGTCAACTGCCATCTAACTATTGTTCCTGCTAAGTAGCATCTGTGCACTACTTTGCAGCAGCCCAAAAGGTATTACACAAACATTGTTTTCTGATAAAATTAAAGGGACTGTATGCTGAAAAAGCTGGCTATGCAAAGCAGCAACATTTTAAGGGCAGCATTATTTCCAACACTTGGATATACCACCATCCCATCCCTGACACATGCACAGAGTAGCCAGTCGAATTAATGAGCAATCATTTTTGATCATCTTGATTGAGAGAAGCAGCACAAAAGTACAATTACAAATCAACACATCAACTAAAACATTGCTTTGCACAAATTAGGAATGAAGATAACAGAGTAAAGATCTTCAATTGAAGCACAGTCCTCCAGCAACAGTCAAAATCTCAAAACAGTGAATAATATCTTGAAAGATAAACCCTTTTACTTGTGTATTGTGCCACTTGGAATCTGGAAAGCAAACTGGCATTGTGTACTATTCTGCAATTTGACCTATTTTTAAAATAGGAAGGTGAATAAATATTTAATATTGCTGAAAAGAGACTCGTGGTGCTAACGTTTTCATCTTCTATTTATCAGAACAAATGCAAAAATGCTAAATTTCAAATGATCACAATAATACATACAGGAAAAAGGCATGTTGACTGCTTGCCATGTTGATTTTGATTAGGTGAGACGATGCCAGTGGAGAAAGCAATGCAGAACTTTAGACTGCCAATACTTGAGTGATTCAAAAACGGCACAAGCCTTGAACATATTCCTCTTATTTACAGGTAACACCACTGAATGTATGCATCTTCTAGCAACTGTGTAAACGAGCCATATTATGATAGGAACTAATCATCTTAAATTACTTTTAGTTGACCTACTGGTGCACTCAGGATTGTTCAGTAACGCTGCCCAGTCATGGAATCAAATTTTACAGTAGATGTTCTGCTTGGACTTTAGCAAACATGGACTGGTTGAGTTCTGAGCTCTGCTTATTCTAAACAGGTAGATGTTGTTTGGTACGAGTCAGTCATTGGACAGACAGCCTACAAAACTCACATCACATCAGCACTGAAACTTGTACATGATGTTGCTCAATTGTATAGCAGCCAGCATTTTGGACTGACAGCAGTCTCATACCAGCAGGAACCGACGCCCGTATCATTACCGTCCAGTAGCAGTGTGAAACAGCTTGTATAACCTGTTTTTCAAATTTTTGAACAAATATTTACAATTATCAAAATATGTGCACCAAACAATTCTTTAAAACAGTTTGATGCAGCTTTTGAAAGCACATTCATTCTTGGTTTCGTATTACAGAAAGGATGCAGGAAGACAAGAGGAAGGCAATAAGTTAATTTCTGAATTTAGACAGCTGGTGTTAGAAGGAAAGAAGAAGGAGTGAGAAGCCATAAATGATATCTTTAATATTTTAAAATATATGGAAGAGAGATCCAGAAAAGTGCTCTTCAAAGATCAAAAAGGACAGGGTTTAACATTAAAAACATGAAAGTACATTCAAGGATCTTGTGTAAACAACCCCGATATGATGGGTGAACATGGCTTTGAGATAGTTAAGATAGGAGCAACAGAGTTTTGGATGAGCACAGGTTTATTTTGCATAGCAGCCAGGAGAGTATTAGAATAATCAAGTCTAAAAGTAACAAGGCATGGATAAGGGCTGCAGCAGATGTGCTGAGGCATGGTCAAACTAAGTCACAATAATGGAAGTAGAAGTAGGTAAGCTTACGGTATGTTCAGAACAGCTTAGAGTCAGAGATGTACAGCACAGAGACAGACCTTTCAGTCCAACTCCTTCATGCTGATATCCTAGATAAATCTAGTCACATTTTGCCAGCGTTTGGCCCTTATCCATCTAAACCCTTCTTATTCATATACCCATCCAGATGCCTTTTAAATTTTGTAATTGTACCAGCCTCCACCACTTCCTTTGGCAGCTCATTCCATACATGCACCACACTCTGCATGAAAAAGTTACCCCTTAGGTGCCTTTTAAATCTTTCCTCTCTCACCTTTAACCTATGCCTTCAAGTTTTGGAATTCAATACCCTGGGAAAAGACCTTGTCTATTTACCCTATCCATGCCCCTCATGATTTTATAAACCTCTAAATTCACCCCTCAGCCTTTGACGTTTCAAGGAAAGTAGCCCTATCCTATTCAGCCTCTTCCTATAGCTCAAACCCTCCAAATCTGTCAACATACTTGTAAATCTTTTTTTGAATCCTTTCAAATTTCACAACAGCCTTCCTATTAGCAGGGTGATTAGAATTTCACACAGTATTCCAAAAGTGACTTAACCAATACCTTTTACAGCCGCAAGGTGACCTACCAACTCCTATACTCAATGCACTGTCCAATAAAGGCAAGCACACCAAATGCCTTCTTTACCATCCTATTACCTGCGATTCCACTTTCAAGGAACTATGCTCACAGTAAAATACAATTCTAAAGTTGTGAATGGTCTGAATCTTCATCAGACAGCTGCTAGAGATACAGATGAAAAGAGGGATCAGGAAACAATTTATGGCAGAGCCCAAAGACAACTGCCTCAAGTCTTCCCAATATTAAATGGAGGAAGGCTCTGATTATCAAATATTGGACAAGCAGAATGTTAAATAAGACAGTGGAAGAATCAGAAAATTTGGTGGGTATTAGAGCTGAGGTTTGTCAGTGTTCACATGTAACCTGATGTGCTTTAGGACAAAGCCACCATGAGTAGCATGCAGATAAAAAAAAAATCAAAGATGCCAAAGACACTACTAGATGACCACATATATAAAAGTCAATATAAAGAGACTTGGCTATTTATATACTTTTCCAAATATACTGACATTGTGGTACATTTTCAAAATACTGTAAATATGTCAATTTCACCTGGGAGTATATGGACTTACCCTTGCGAATTGCTTCAAGCAAAACACTTCGAGCATCACTGATCACTGGCAGAGAAGATGGATGCCGCTTGGCTTCAGATCCTGGATGTGCTTGGGAAGGAGATGATGGTGGGACCGAGGGAACAGGAGGTCTAGTGCCAAAAGATGGTGGAGGAGGGGGCCCAGGAGGTGGTGGGACAGGTCCTCCGAGAAGTGGAGAAAAGGATCGTGGTCCAGGTGGGGGAGGTGGTGGTGGTGGTGGAGGTGGCGGTGGCGGAGGAAGTCCCTGTCCTTCATTTGTCTGAGCTGGAAAGGTTGTCATCATATCAATCCCAGGTGCTGTGACAGAAACTGGAAGGGAAGGTTTTATTAATGGAGGGGCCACAGGAGGAGCAGCTGGATGAAGTACTCCAGGGGCAATCTGAAGAGGTGTAGCTGGCGGAACAGATACCATTGGCTGTGGCAGTGGAGGAGCAATTGGAGGTGTTGAGTTGATGGTTGCTTTGACTGAGGCTCCTGACACAGTAGCAGGAAGAGGTGGTGGTGGTGGTGGCAGTGGGGGAGGGGGAGGTGGAATAGCAGGACTCACAAAAACTGTTGCTTTGCTTGTCGCTGGTGACCTAAGTCGATGATCTATTACATCAGAGTTGGAACTGGAAAGAAAACCCAACATATTTTCAGCACAAATATCCATGACAATTAAAGCAGATATACAAAGGAAAAGGTAATTTACTCAATTTGTCAAATACACAAATATCTATCAACTGAGGAGAAAAGTCAGGAATAAAACAAAGCAATGAAGTTGATTGGTGACATCAACTAAAGCTTGTAAAGAATAAAGGTTCTATCTGCAGTAATGCAAATAGAATGAATGAAAGTTTCCATGAAACTGCCATTCATTGGGAAATAACCTTATGCTTCCAAATAAACATTCCAGTCAATGTAAGGTGGTGAATGTTAATGCTACCAGGTGAACAAAATAGTAAACTTGTTGAGATAGCACTAGAAAGGCTAGCCCTGTTCTAAGAAGTTGGATTAAGGATGAAATACAGAAGTACAAGATTAACAGTGTTAAAATTTTAGATCTGAATGGCTCTCATTTCTGACATCTTCTTCCTATCCAAGTCACACTGGTACAGGTTGAACAAGATTTCAATAGAGGATAGGTAGGCAGACTGATTGAAGTAGGATCTGAAAAGCATTAGCTTACAACTTAACAACAAAATGGAACGAGAATACATTCATATATTCATTCATATTCAGTGCCTGTATGAAAATTGACATGACATCATGCTTTCACATCATGTTGCCAATGACAGACTGTAGATATGAAATAGGAATGGAGGTCAGGGATAGATTCATGGGGGACATCACAGCCAATAGTTCAGTGCCAGGAAGGGAAGCCACCGAGTGTAAACAGTGGAAAGCTTAATATCACTATGGGTTACAATCAGGTTTAATTCTGAAATCAGGTTTTCAAAAATAAATAACTCAACAGTGAAGTTTCGTTACCTAAAAGCCGGTGGTACAGCCTTCATGTCAACTGCTGTTTGTACTGGTGGAGGCGGGGGTGGCTCATGTGGTCTTGAAACGAACAATTTGTCACTCATTCCACTGGGATGTTCACTAATGTGTCTAAAAGGTACTGTGGACTGTACAAAGTGGTCAAGATGGTCATCTGGGTGATCAACACAGGGTTCCATCCTCAAAGGAAAAGCAAAATTATTACTACAAGATTATTTTCTTATATACGCACCATCAGTTAGTAATTCATTATTCACAGATTGACCAATTAACAGATCTGTCAATGTTTTTATAAAAAAAGCAAATAAGTCTTGATAATAAAAAATGCATTTCATGCTATTGGGATGGGCAGGAAATAATGAAACATCCTCAGAATCATGGAGCACAAAACAAGGGTAATTCATCTCATTGAGCTTATTGCAGAATCACAGGGGTGTTGCGGCACAAAAGGAGGTCATTCAACCCGCAGTACCTGCACCAACTCTTCAAGTGAGCATTATTAAACTCGCGCCAAACTCCTGCTATTCCCCCCATACCATGTACAGTATTTCTACCCAAACAACATCCAAGGCCCTTCTGAATGCCTCAGTTGAACCTGCTGCTTTCACACTTCCAGGCAGTGCATTCCATACCCTAATTACTTGGGTGTGTGAAAAAGATTTTTTTTTAATATAATCACTCATTTGCTTATTTTGTAAATCATTGGAAATCTGTGCCTTCTAGCTCTTGATCCCCTGATGAACAAGAACAACTTCACATGATCTATCTATCCAGCCTATGATGATGATGAAAAACTCTTTCAGATCTCCTCTTATCCTTTTTCTCCCTAAGGGGAACAACATCTTCAATCTATCCTCGTAACACATTTCTCATGCCTGGAACCATACTTGTAAATCGTTTCTGCGTTCTCTCCAATGCATTCACATCCTTCCTATAATACGATACTCAGAATTGGACAATACTCCAGCGGAGCTCTAATAAGCGATTTATGTTGGCTTGTTTGAAACAGTCATCCAGTTACTTTTTCCATAGTACTGAAATTGTTTTCTTTTCAAATATGGATTCAATAGTAAATATAGTAATATTTCCAAAAGGATTTGGATACGGCTTGATGGCACAGGCAATGCTGTACATAACAAACCATCATTCAAAGAAACACTAATGGTGTACTCACAACATACACACAAAAAAAGTGATTTTCATTCAGAAGTAGCTTTGCCATAACATTAACAGGTTTCAGTACTTTAACCTGTATTCTATTTTGCTTAACATATCGCAATCAAAATCTACAGTACAATACCGTAGACATACCTACTTTTTGCTATATTTTGATTTATACAAAAATATGCAAATTTCACACATGGATTCCAATTATTCAAAGTAGCATTGAAACTAACCTTGGTTCAGGATACACTGGTGGTCCGTTGATATTATCTCTGTGTTTCTGTGGAAAATCTCCATCAACTGCAAGCTCTAAACCTGGTGCCTGTTTCTCCCATACTTTTCGTCTATCCTGAGGCGCTCTAGGCACTTTGTCCGGTTCTCGATTACGATCTATTGGTTTCTGCTACAAAGGAAATTTGGAGACTGAGTGATACTTAGAAAATTGTAGAATTAGGTCACATATGTATTAGAGAGAAGTCTGACAGTATTGCATTCAAAAATGATCGAGAAGTGATCCAGTTCTGGTGAAAAGTCTTCGACCTAATGCACTAACTTCATTTCTCACCCCAGATGCGACATGACCCGGTGAGTATTCTTGCATTTATAGATTTTATTTCAAATTTCCAGTATCCTTAGCTTTGCAAAGAGATTCAGCGGTATAAGGATGAGGTACATAGGGCAGCACGGCGGTTCAGTGGTTAGTACTGCTGCCCCACAGCGCCAGGAACTCAGGTTCAATTCCACCCTTGAGCGACTGTCTATGTGGAGTTTGCACATTCTCCCCATGTCTGCGTGGGTTTCCTCTGGGTGCTCCGGTTTCCTCCCACAATCCAAAGATGTGCAGGCTAGGTGGATTGGCCATGATAAATTGCCCAGAGTGTTCAGGGATGTGTAGATTAGATGGGTTATAGAGGGATGGGTCTGGGTAGGATGCTCTGAGGGTCAGTGTGGACGTGTTGGGCCGAAGGGCCTGTTTCCACAGTGTAGAGATTCTATTTTATTCATATCTATTTTAAGTACAAGTTTGTAAAAGAATTTGGCATGGGTGTGCACACGGAAGGCTATTTCACTTAAACCAAAAATCTATAGATGTATATTATAAAGGAGGAAAAGAGCAATGAGGTTCTTATACCACACAAACTGAGAGATGAAATAATATGATGGTCTTGAATTGGATAAATTGAACTCATGTTCATGTGTCCTGCAAACACAGATGACTGTACAGTTTCTGCCTGTATACATTCTGAGAAGATATTTGAATAAATGCAAGTTCTGTGTTAGAAAGTAAAAATTAAATGAAAAATAACCTTTTGCTTCCGTTCCTTCCTCTTATCTTCAGTGTCTTGGAGCATTTTCTCTTTCCACAAATCAAAGAAGTATGATGGATTTGTGTAGAATTTTAAGCCATCTTTACCGTCATCTCTGCAGCAACACAATATTCAGAATTAATGTTATTTTTTTTCCATTTGTTGAATAAATATGTGACCCATTTAAGCTATGCATTAAGCAGTTATTCAGAATAGACAAATAGCATTTTATAGCTTCAAGCACACTTTTACTAAAAGAATCAAAGGAATTTACAGCATTTGAGGCCATTCTTCAGCTAATTGGACATATTTTGGATGTCAAGAAGCTACTTAGACCAGCCTCACTTTCCAGCTCTTGATCCATAATATCACTTTAAACAAATACCTGTCCAAATTATTTTTAAATATCGAAGGTTTCTATTTTCCGAACTGTTTCAGACAGTGAATTCTCAGAATGCAGCTAAAACCAGAACACAAAATTAAGAGTTAGGTAGGTACAGGAAGTTGGCGAGGTGTTGCTCCTTTTATAATTTTGTCAGCCATCAGAACAGCATGCGTCGAAAAACTGCACAAGACAGGACAGAGAGCCAATAGGAGTACAGCAGTGTAAACATCCTTTCCCACTCCTCCAACCATCTTCTGAGAAAATTAAAAAGTGACAACACAGGGAAATGGGTAAATGATTAGTTGGTGAATATTTTGCTCATTCATCTTTTAAAATCCAGACTACTTGTAGGGTTTTGAGAGTGCACTTTTGGCAAAGTTTGCTAGCAATGATAAAGCTTATTAGGAGAACAGGATTTATTAATTATAAAACTCATTAAAAAAAACTTAAGATACAATGAAGATGGCAGGGCAGATGATGTGTTGTGACTGCAGGACGTGGGTGCTTCTAGACGCTGGTGAGTTCCAGTTCAGAGACATCTTCAGTAAGAGTCTGCAGCTGCAAGAACTTTGACTCAAAGTTTATGAGTTGGAGGCCAAGTGCAGACACTGTGATGCATCAGAGAAAGGGAAAACTGCCTGGATGCTTTATTCTCATAGGTGGTCACACCACTTCAGATAGGATTTTCTGCCTGGGTCAGTGGTCAAGCCAGGTGAGAAAGAGTCAGGTATGGAACTCTGAATGGAGGTGGAAGGCCACAGCCTTTAAAATTTCGGACACACTAGAGGTTCCTGCAGCCTGTTTGTATGAAAATGTTAGCTGCAGGATAAATGGGAGAATTGACCATTGTAGAATGGTACAGGAAACCATTCAAGCAGGGCAGTGTTAATCAGATTGTGGTGGCAGTAGTGGACAGCATAGTCAGTGCAATAAGTCTGGTTCACTGCAGCCAGGAGCAAGTATCCAGATGGTTTTATTGCCTGCCTACAGTACAGGACACCTGCTTTGGGTTGGAGAGGGACTTGCAGAAGGATGCACAAGGATCAAGTTGACATGATCCATGTAGGTATCAACAACATAGGTAGAGTTAGGAAATAGCTTCTGCTGGGAGTGTCTGAGCAAATAGGTGCTAAATTTAAAAAACAGATTCTTGAGCCATAAGCAAATTGGCATTGGATAAAGAAAATTACAGAGATGAATCTGTAATTCAAGAACTGGTCTGGTGGAAAGGGCTTTTAATTACTGGGATGCTGAGACCAGGGCTGAGGGAAGTGGGAGCAATAACATTGGGATAGTCTCCATCTAAACAGTGCTGGGACCAGTGTTCCAAGTAAATTGCATAACTAGGGCTGTAAGGAGGACTTTTAAATTGTGGGGAGAACAAATCAAGTGAAGGGCATTATGGTAAAGCAAAGGGAAACACAAGCAAAGCAATTTTGGTGATGATAACCACAGTCTTATAGGAAGGGATACAGCATAAAAACACAAGAGTGCATCAGCAGATATGGTCAGAAATAGTAAAAACTATATAAAATATAAAGAGCTAAAGGACCTGTACCTCAATGTATGCACCAATCATAACAAAAGGGATGTATATTATCAAGGTGGAGAGGGTTCAGGAGAGATTTACCAGGATGTTGCTGGGTGTGAAAGGTTTGAGTTATAAAGAAGGGCTGGAAAGGCTGGGACTTTTTTCACTGGAGTGTAGGAGATTGAGAGCTGACCTGATAGAAGTTTATAAAATAATGAGGGGTATAGATAGAGATAATGCTAATTGTCTTTTCTCTAGAATGGTCCCAGGTTGCCAGCTGGCTCACTGCAGTTTCAACTGTCTGGAAGAACAGCCAGCAATGCAGAAAGAAGGTCAATAACCTCTCAGCTCTGCCATCATCTCTATTACCACATGCTCACTCCATCTTTGCTACTGCATGCAGATCTCACCAAGATTCATGTTCTACCACTTGCATAACTGCATGCAACTGTTTCTTCATTCACTTTTACCCACTCAATTCCCCCCACTCCACTAACCTTGCATGGCATCTTTCTCACTTGCTCAGGACACCTCACACCTTTGTCCCACCTGCACCAGCAGTAATAGTTGTACCACCCATTTCATCTTAATCAATCCCTCCTTTACTTGCCAGGAGAAAACAATAGGGGGGAAAGAGTCAAGATGGATGGTGGGGTGCCTTTTGGCTCTCCAGCTCCTGCTAGGTGAGGATCCTGACCCTGACAAACCAGAAAGGCTGAGTGACCATGTCCATGCCCATGCCCATGGACTGATATCAGAGGGTGTCCTTGATGTACTCTACTGGGTGAGATGCCTTGACTGAGGGCTACTTTCCATGGATTTTGAGATATGGCTGTTGTTTGAAGTTCATGCACTGTTTCCAAATATGGCGCAGGTTTGAGATTGACTTAGTATGGTGCTGTACAGCAACATGTCCATCCCTGTAACTAAGGACTGCTGACAAAAATAATAATATTCCTGGCCTCGAGTTTGCACTAAAAAGCAAGTTAAGACAGAGGTACTGGGCCTCTAAGCATCGGAGGGTAATAAAAGAAATGGCAAGATAGTAGACGTATTGGCTATAGCTTCCAAAATTCTTTAGATTTCAGAAACGTCTCAAATGAATTTCAAATGTCACACTTTCATTCATTCAAGCAAGCACAGTAGCAAGAAATAAACTAAAGGTCAGTTAGCTTAACATCTATGATAGAAAAGGTGTGAGAATCCATTATTAAGGAGGTTAAAGCAGTGTATTTAGAAAATGAAGATGCAATCAGGCAGAGCCAACATGGCTTTGTGAAGATAGTGTTTCATTAATCTAGAAGAATTTTTTGATAAAGTAACATTCATGATGGATACAAGGAAACCAATAGTTGTGGATTTTGACAATGCATTTGACAAGGTTTCAAAGGTTACTGTGCAAGTAACAGCACATAGTATGGAGACGACATATTAGCACCGATAAGGGATGGGTTCACTAACAGGCGTTTATCAGGTTTGAAAGCTGTTACTTGTGGAGAGCCATAACACCAGTACTAGGTCCTCAACAATTGACTATCTATTTCAGTGATTTGGATGAGGGGACTGACTATATGGTAACTAAATTTGCTACTAAGGAAAGGAAGTTAAGAAGAGGAGGTGGGCAGATTCACCATTATGCTATTGAGATTAAAAGGTTCAATTACAAAAACGAATAGCTTAAAATTTGATTTATATTACCTTGCATTTAGAAGGCAGGAAGGTGATCTATTGGAGGACCCCAAAATGGTTACAGGTCAGCTCAGATCAAGGGATTGTAATTGTAAAATTAGAACTAGGCTAATGATGAGTGAAATTAATATGTTACACTAACGATAGTGGAAATTTGGAACACTCCCAAAATGTTGCAGATGCTGGGTCAGTTGAAACATTCAAGACAGACTGATGGATTTCCATTGGGTAAAAGTTGTGTGTGTTTTGGAACAACAGTGAATAAATGGAATGGCGGTATAAATCAGCTAACTGAAGGGGAAATAGGTTTGAGGGGCAAAATAGCCTACTCCTCTCCCTGAATTCACAATACAAGTGACATTTATTATGGCAACTGATATACTTAGTTTTGGACAGATTATTTAATGTGGTTTGATTGCTCCAATATTTGCACTCTAGCATGAAATCTGTCAGTCAAAGCAACTGGAGCACTAATATGAATATTGAAGAAGATTAGCTCAGGCTTGGTGCTTTTGGCAGTCTATTAACATTAATATATGTTCTTAGATGATCACTGAACCTATGTAGTAGAGGTTTGTCTGCACCTCTGGACATGGATCTTGTGAAGAATAAAAGGTGTTTAAACAAATCTTAAAGAGAAAATGTTTGCACCAACTATCTGGGAGATTTAAGCAAATAGCAGAGGCAAGATTTTCTCAGACCAATAAGAGAAAATGATAAATTTATTGTAAAGGAGAATGAGAAAATGACAGCAAATACAAAGCTTCCTAGTTGGGCCATCTGCTGAAGGCTGAACAAAACCTGTATGTGATTATGGAATCATCTGTTTCCTCAGTCACTTTCTGCCATCTAGTGGTTGAAATTTAACAATATACATTCAACACATTTCAAATTTTTCGCATTTTGGAATTAGTTCAATATAGTCGTATCAGTTTGAGACATTTGTACAAGAGTTCCCCACATTCTGTCTAATCTTCCTCAGTTTTTAAGTGTAGTTCACCTTCTGCAATATGCTACTTTCATTGTTTTATTATCTATTTGGTGTGTACTGGGAAAAGTGAGCATCACTATGAAACTTAAGGGGTTTTACATTGTTGTGTGATCTATGCAATATAAAAGCCTTCTTCTTGGGCCAAATTCATTTTCAGCGCAGTGCAATAGTTTTCAAAATAGAGTGCTTGCATGGGGCAATCTTCAAATAACAACAGTTACTATGCTAACTCCTGAAAGACTTTGTTACTTGTGGATAAACAATGCTATCATTGCTGAAAACGACTTTTATTCTGAGTCAGCAACTGAAGGACAAATTTAAGATATCCATCAAAGGAACAAAGGAAAAGTTACAAGAGAATATGTTTAAATGGAAGTTACGAGAAATTGACTAACCTACCTAATATAACACCTTGTATTTGTACAGCACCTTTAACACAATAAAACTTCTGGAAGCATTTCAAAGGAGCACAATGTAACAAAATTTGATGTTAAGCCACCAAATCGAAAGTGTCTTCCA